AGACATTCGGATCACAGGGAAGAAGAACAAACTGGGGAGGAGGGTGGAGAGAATGGTGTGGCAATGAAGGAGTGAAAGCCCAGAATCCCTGTGAATGTTCATTGAAACTAATAAAATTAAATAATAATAATAATAATAAAATATTTACAGCTTTGGAAACCTTATAAGTGCACTTATACTCTGTCCTATCAAGTCAGAACAGCTCAGAGTTAACGAAACTGGTTCTAACTATTCATCAATGTCCGATTTAAACAAAATTTATAACTCAATGTTTCAATTAGGAGCTATTTTGCTGTTGGCTGTGTTTCTAATATTTTGTGAAATTATTTAAAAAATAATTGATCTAAGGAAACCTCGAACTGAGCTCTGGTGGCCTGGTGGCAAGAAGCTGTGCTGCAATCCCGAAGGGTTGCAGTTTGAATCCACCAGCTGCTCTATCGGAGGAGGATGTATAGTCTTCTCCCTTGCAATTACCTGCCTTTGAAAACCTGCCGGAGGGTCAGCTATGGGTTTGTTCCGAGTTGGTGGTACACAACAACAAACACAGTATATAGTTATTGAATAGAAACATCCCCTACCATAGTTATGCTTGATTCCAATCGACAAAACTTAGAGGGAAATTCAAAGTGATCTTGTAACATAACAAGGTTGATCCTTCGGTAGCAGTTTGCACTCTACGTATTAACCTAGAGGCTGGCTGTTCAAACCTAGCCAGTGGCACTAAGAAAGACAAGCCTCGCAATCTGTTTTTATAGAGATTACCAACAAATCCCATGGAGCAGTTCCCCTCTGTAACACACTGGGGCTTCTGAGTTGGAATAGAGTCAATTGGTTTAGTTTACTTGTGCAATAACGAGGTTGACCTTTGGTTGTGGTGCAAATGGTTAAGTGCTTGGCTGGTAATGAAAAGGTTGGTAGTTTGAATTTACATAGGGGAACCTTGGAACACAAACTTGGTGACATACTTCTGAAAAAAAAATCAACGCACACCCATGTTTTTTGTGGCTTTGTTCACAATAGCAAGGAGTTGGAAACAACCTAAGTGCCCATCAACAAACGAATGGATAGAGAAGCTGTGGTATATTCACACAAATACTATGCTGCATTGAAAAACAAGGAATTCATGCAATATTATTCAAAATGGGTGAGCCTGAAGGACATTATGCTGAGTGAGGTATCTCAGTCACAGAAGGACAAATACTGCATGGTGCCACTGATGTAAAGCAGGATTGACCTCGGGGTTGGGAGGAGACGGAGAAAGATGGGTTCAATAATGTATACTGCATTGAAACAGATGAGGGAGAAAACTGTTTAAAAGGGATATGTGATTAGGTATTTTTGTCATGACAGGAGTCCAGAGTGAAGGCTGCATAATGGAGTGGACCTCGGGGGAGGGATTGTAAAACAATGAAAGAATTTTTCTTTTACTTTTCCAAGAGGGTAGTGTACTAGGAAGAGAGGGTGGGGAGAAAAGTGCAACAATGAATGCATGGAAATCCAAAGTCTCTGTAAATTTTTATTGAAATGAATAATAAATTTTTTTTTTAAATCAATCCTTGGGCAGTCTATGGAGCAGAGTTTATTAGTATCATTATTTAAATTTGGTTTACACATGGAAATGACTTGATGACAATCAGCCATACTTGTAGCAATGGTCCATACAAGATTCAGTGGAATCTGGCCTCCTCCTCAATAATGGGGCTCACTCAGTTTTAAACCTAATACTTTTCAAACCCAGAGCTCCTTGAGGGTCTCAGCACCCAAGCTTTGATTCAATGAGAGATCCTTTCCTAGCTGTAGGGCTACTAAGTCATTCCTTAACTGATTTCTTGGCCCTTCTGTTAACATCCTCTGCTCCTGTCTTTGCAGCCCTGTTGCTGAATTCCTATTTTGCTGGTGCCATACTGATTTCCTGATTATCCTCACATGGAAGAAGGAATAGGGTACGGGGCATTGATGAAAATTAGGAAGTGTTTTTCCTTTATCGGGGTTTACTGTAAAAATAAATAGGTCACAGAGAAAGCTGGCCAGCATCTAGAGGTTTTTATGTCAACTTCAGGCATATGTTGAGTCTAAGTTAATTACATTGCCTCCTCCCCAGAAATCTTTAGGTGTTCTGAGGTTCTGCTGAAAAGTCAGCCAGATGCCCATCTGTTGTTGTTGTTGTTAGGTGCCTTCAAGTTGAGCACAACTCATAGTGACCCTATGAACAGCAGTTCTGAACCCTGCCAATCTTGTCTGTCTAGCTACCCCTTATTTATCTCTTACTTAGGATTGTTGTTATGTGCTGTCGAGTTTCCTGTGACTCATAGCGACCCTGTGCACAACAGCCTGAAACCCTGCTCTATCTTGTGCCAATCTTATTGTCTCTGACACACCTACCCCCGGTACCCCAGTTACTGAGTCAATCCAGCTCATTGAGATGTCACTCCACGCTCCAAAGCATGACATCCCTCTCCAAGGACTGGTCTTTCCTTGCACCATGTCCAAAGTAGGTCAGACGAAACTTCAGAATCCTTGCCTCCAAGAAGCAGCCTGGTTTCACTCTCTCTAGGACAAACCTGTTTGTTCTCCCAGCAGTCCATGGTATATTCAATACTCTTCTCTAGCAACACAGCTCAAAGGCATAAATTCTCCTGCTATTATCCCTAGTCATTGTCCAGCCCTCTGATGCATAGCAAGTAATTGCAAAGGCCTGGATCAGGCACAGCCTCATCTCCAGGCTGACATCATTGCTCTTCAGTATATTGGAGAGGTCTCTGACACAAACTTGAATTTGAGAGTCATATATTAAATATTAATGAATGATGTGTGATGCTGACATTTGAAATTAGATATATCTTGGCAATTGTCATAGAATTCATTCCGTATTTATACACTTTTCATGTAAGTATTATGAGAGTTATTTTCAATTACCTGACTTACAATCTAGATCCACTTTTTCCTGATTTTAATTGATGAATTAATTTAGCAAAGATAAAAGTTAAATTAGTCTGACGTGTAAGGACTAAAATAAATTAAAAATGAGAAGTTTAATTCTGTTTTTCTAAATCTGCTCTAGATAACTTGTCATTGTAAAATCCTTCTCTGTCTTTTTAAAAAGTATAAAAATGTTAATTTGAGCACTATGCTGTCATTTCCTTAAAATACAATTTCTGGTCATTCTCTTCTGCTTCTCAGTTTACTCGAAGATGAATGTGATTTCAGGTATCCTGCCATAAAGACACTAGAAAATTAGCAATCTAATCCTGCATACCTTAATGTATCTGGTTGTATCCACTCAGTTATATAAAGAGTAAGAAATCCTGGTGATGTAATGATTTACACTCAGGTGCTAACTGAAGGGCTGATTGTTTCAAACCAGGAGCTGCTCTGTGGTAGAAAAGACCTGGTGATTTGCTTCAGGTCACAGTCTAGGAAGCCTTTTGGGGTGATTCTGCTTTGTTGCATAGTGTTGATACAAGGTGGAATTAACTCATTGGTCCAGAACAGCTATAACATATAATGTTATATATGTTTTAGAAGACAAATGTTGTTGTGTACTGTTGTGTCTGAACCAACCCATAATTGACCCTCTGGTGGGTTTTCACAAGCAGTTTATCTCATAGGAGGAGATTGCCTACACCTCTCCTGTGGAGCATCTGGTGGATTTGAACTGCATGCCTTTGTGATTACAAAGCAGCTTCTTGCCAGTAGACCACCAGAGTTCTCATGAAACATATAGGGAGTAACATTTCTTTATGACTTTACAGTCTTTTTTATTAAGTTGCCTGTGATGCATCCCATTTTGATGCTCATTCAGTTATGCAACTTTTCTTTATCTTCTGTTGTTGTTTTTGTGGACCTTCAAGTCAGAACCAACACAAAGTCAACCTTCTGGCAGATTTTAGAAAGGTTTTCAAATTGCTGTAAGGAGGTTTCCAAATTTGGGAGATTTAGTTTTAATGAAATTTCCTCAACACACAACTTGACCTAAGTGTTCCCATATTTTTTTCCTCAGAGGTTGACAAAGAATTCTATGAGCTATCTATCCAAGGATCTTTTCCTGAGTCAAAGTCAAGCTTATAGATGTATGGTTTGTAGAATTGTAAATATTGGAATGGTATTTGATTATCAGGGACATCAAGTGATAAGAGTAAGGATGTCAGTTTAAAGACTAAGGTACACCTGACCCAAGTCATGATTTTTTAATTGCTTCCTACACATGTGAAAGTTGGACAAAGAATAAAAGATCAAAGGAGAAAAGTTTATGAATAGTGCTGTTGTTCCCAAAAAGAACCAACAAACCAATCTCAGAAGAAATGCATCCAGAGTGCTCCTTAGAGGCAAGTATCGTGAGATTTGTGCCTTATACTCTTTAAGCATCTTGTCAGGAGGACCACACTTTAGTCACGTCCGTGGAAGGCAATATTATGCTTTGAAAGGTGAAGCGTTAGCAAAGGAGAGGAAGTCCCTCGATGAGATGGATTGACATGGTGCCTGCAGCAATGCGTTTAAGCACAGCAGAGATTGTGGGAATGGCATAGGATCAGGAAAGGTTTTGATCTGCAGTGCCTAGGGTTACTATGAGTCAGAGTCAGCCCATGTTGGCATGTAACAACAATAACACAGGGAAAACATGTGGTAATTGAGAAGATCCTCATTCCTGATAAAGTTGTTGTTGTTTAATGCCGTCGAGTCTTAGACGACTCATAGCGACCCTATGAACGAACAGCCTGAGCACTGTTTGTACATAGAGTTTCCAGAGGCAAGCCATTTGGAAGTGGATGCCGCTCCTGCTTCCAGGCTTGATTTAGTAGGGAAACTCCAGCCAACACAGTCCACCATGGGTGCCCATTACCACGACTGGCACATCACTGTCACAGGCTTCAGCATCACAGCAACCACGAGTTATCTCTGTACAGCAACTCACAGACCAGTGCTATACCACCTAGAAGAATGTTTGACAGGAAGACAATTTGATCCTGGCCCGAGGGCCCTTTGGGCTTAAGGCCGCCTCCTGGTTCAAACCCTAGGCCCAGGCTGCCTAGCCTCACTCCAGGGACAGAGCAAACCTGCACGTCAAACACATTCCCAGAAAAGCAGTCCACTCCAAAGCTTGCCACGATTCCTGCGCTCCCCACCACCACGCTCCTGCCTTCTGGCAAGGAGAGCTTCCCACGAGCCTGTGAAGGCGCCAGCCAAGCCAGGAACAACATGTCCTGATAAAGTTAATTGTGTTAATAAATAAGTAGACATTCTTGCCTTACTAGCCTTGGATAATGTGAATCTTCTCCAATAAACATCTTTATTCTTAGTATAAAGTCATAAAATCAAGTTTGCAAGGCCCTGATTATCTTTTGGAAGACAATCATTTCCCCCTCCCATATTTATTGATTACATTAAAATATTTTCTTTTCTCATGCCATGCTATCAAAATAAATTAAGTATTCAGAAAAAAAAATGCCACTAATCATGGCAGTGTGTATGTTTCCTTTAAGGCATTAGGCATGTGAATGGTTTATGTATTTGAATACTCATGGACCTCAGGCAATGGTAACTTGGTACTAGTTAATCAATCAAATAATGATAGGGCAGGAGAAAGAGTATTTAAGGAACACTATAAATATCAGGGATGGAAAGTATCTTAAAAAACTTCCTGCTGAGTGCTTGGTTGTCAGATCCAATCCTTAAAATTTCCTTATCAGGTGTAAGTTGCTGTGTGTAGGTGGCTGCTCAGAGGTAAAATTCCCATGGAGTCCTTAGATTAGCTCAATTCCTGGGACTGTGTCTGTACTCAATGTCCTTAATAATGTTCTGGCCAGGAGAATAAATTGCCTCAAGGTTTGGAAAAGCATGAGATACCTCCTGAGACCTATTTTCTGGCATGTTACTCCATCCTTTAAAAAAAATTTACACACCGTACATGGCCAGATGAAAGAGGCCATCCCAGAATGCTACATCCGTGACGTTGAAGGACAAAGCATTCTTTATATAAACATCTAGTTTGGATGTGCTCCTAGAGAGCCTGAAAGAGAATGGCACGCAATCATGCTAGAAGGCTGTGAAAACAAACTGTTGGCCTCCATACGCAAGTGGTCCCTGAGGTTTTAGAAATAGAAAGGAGAATACATGTGTAAACAGGAAAAGAATCCGCATTCAGAAGGCTTGGTATTTGTTGCCGAGTGTTGGGGAGGAAGGGAGTGCTTCTGGCAAGGACGGGTCCTCTGAGCTCCAGACAGGTGCAAGCCTCACAACGGCCTTTAATGCGGGGTAGAGAAAGCTCACCTGTGTTTGGCTGTACCAGCTTGAGAAAGCTTGCCACCCGGGAAGACGGCTGCCGCGTCTGTTGAGCTGGGAGTGGTCCACACAGGAAGCTAAGTTTCTCCTGACCAATCCACATGCCCCACTTCTGTAAGCCCACCCTATCCTGTTTTCCTGTGTATATAATTCAGTGCTTATCCCAATAAAACCGAGCTGGAGTGACTCTCTGATCCTCTCCCAAAGTGGTGTATCTCCGTCGTGCTTACTCCCATCAGAGCCTCACTGTAAATTGCCAGTGAACAGACAGCGACAGGTATTCATTGCTAGACAGGCAACTTAAAGGATATATATTCTCACTGTTTTCACCGTTGTTTTCTTTGTGACACGAGGCCCATCTTGGTTATGCCAATTTAAAAATTATTATCAGCCTCAAGATAATATCTGTGAAGTATGACTGCAAGACCTTAAAAGTAAATGATGTTCAAAGGACAAATTAAACACATAGGTTAGGAGCTATTAAAGGCTTTATTAGGAAGGAAGTAGGGAAGTCTCTGTAGCATGAGGAAGACAATGTATAGTGACCATGAGAAGGAGAAATGGAGACATTGACAGAATGAGTACTCTAGCACCTCAGGATTACAAATAGGAAACCTCTAAGGATGTACTACTTAGGTTGTTTAACAGGAGAGATAATGGTCACTCATCTAAGACTAAGCGATGACTGTAGGTCAAGAACAACCAAAGAAGGGGAGCTCTGGTGGCCTAGTGTTAAGGAGCTGCAACTACAATCCCAGAGGTGCATGGTTCGAATCCACCAGATGCTCTGCTGGGGAAGGAGGGACAATCTCCTCCTGTACCAGTGAGACCTGATTTGACGGTACACTCACACAAAAATAATAAAATAAAAAAAAAAAAGAACAACCAAAGAAAGCTTGTAGCTGCTGCAGAGATCAACAGAGATGATGATGAAGAAAAGGAATCAAGGCAAAGTCAGCTCTACCTATGGGAACAACACACAAACATTCTAATCAAGAGGATGAGATGTAAGAAGATGGCTAGAATTTGTTGAGTGGCAGTCACTTCTGGTGATGAAACTTCTGGAATTATTTGGGGACCTAGCAGGTTGGTTGTGAGAAGGTGGACCTAGGATGATTCTAGGGTGAGTGAATCAGTTGCAGGATGGGCGGTGGCAGGGCTGGCAGGAGGTGCACCCGAAGGTCTCAGGCAGGCAGCCAGTCAGGCGGACACATGTTGGGTGGTAGCAGGTTCTCTGGCAGTACACGGGGCTGCAGCAAGCTGGCTGGCAGCAGGCAATGGGGCGGCAGCAGGGCTGGCAGCAGCTGGAGCCACAGCAGGTTTGCCCACAAGAGCTGGAGCCACAGCAGGTGGGCTGGCAGCAGGAGGAGCTGCCACAGGAGGGGCGGCAGCAGCTGATCTCACACACTGGTCGGAGGCAGGTGGTATGGCAGTGAGTACGGCAGGTGTTTTCATAGCAGGTTGGGCGGCAGCAGCAGGACTGGCAGCAGGTGGGTCTGCAGCAGGTGGGCTGGCAGCAGGAGGAGCTGCCACAGGAGGGGCGGCAGCAGCTGTCCTCACACACTGGTCGGAGGCAGTTGGTATGGCAGATAGTTTGATAGCAAGTTGGGCGGCAGCAGGTGGGCTGGCAGCAAGGGGAGCAGCAGGAGTGGGTCATGGTGTCAGGTGTGGAGGGTGGGCTTGTGTACAGAGGTGAGTTTTCCCAGATTCTGAGAACTCTTTCTGTTCTCATGTTTTTATACACTGGACTGCCAAAGTCTGAGCCAATAAGCAGGACTTTTCCTGGTTGTTAATGATGTTGTTTTCAATTGTGTGAATTATTGAGAGGGAAGTAGTTCTTTAAGTAGTATGCATTTTTTTTAAAAAATAAGTGTTTTAATGTTTCTTAGTTGAGAATTATTCATAAAAACGTCTTTCCAGATAAAAGGAAGATGGTCACATCACCATCATCATTCCTGCTCCAATCATCATCTGGTCATGTGATAGCTCCAATTAGCTCAGGAACTGATGCTCCTCGGCTTGCTCCTTTGGCTGTACACTTGGAGGGGTGCATGATGTTTATTCCTCACAATAAATTAAAACTCTGTCTGGGTCCAAGTCTTCTCATCATAAAAGCCTGATATTAAGGCTATTTTGTTGTTTGTTGTTAGGTGCCATTGAGTCAAGCATAACTCATAGTGACCTTATGAACAGCAGAGCTGGACCCTGTCCTATCCTCATGATCTCTGACACATGCTCTTTTCTGCACAAACTGTCAAGTCATCTGGTTAAAGTCTTCCTCCCTTGCACTGACCCTCCACCTTTCCAAGCATTATGTCCCTTTACCCAGGAATGTCCCTCTCCTAACAACATGCCCAAAGTATGTTAGACAAAGCTTTGCCACCTTTACTTCCAAGGCTTACTCTGAATGTACTTTTCCCAAGACAGATCTGTTTGTTCTTTTGGACGTCCATGGGATGGCTAGTCAGTGCTCTTCTCCAGCACCACAACTACGGTAAGTACATATCTGCGGCAATCACTGTATCTGTGTATCACAATCCTCTCAAAGACACTTACTTGTGTCAAGGATGTTGGCACAATCTTATCTATACGGTAAATCAGAACCAAAACAGTTGGTTCGAATGTTGGCAAATCAGAAGCAGAAGCAGTATATTGGGATTCAGAAAACATCAGTCACTTTACACCTTGGGGTAACCAACTACACTGGTTTTCCCAGGACTGAGTTTCCCAAGATGTGGAAATTTCAGTGATATAAATCAGCTATGTCTTGATGAACAAGTTAACGCTAGTACTGATGCTGTTTACTAGCAGAATCAAAGACCCAAGGGGAGATGCTCTAATCTGTATGCTTTTAAAAAATGGTGGTAAAAAAGTATATGTAAAACAAAACATTTCAACATCTTTTACATAGATAATTCAAGTGATATTACATTCATTACGTTGTGCAACCATCACCACTATTTTCAAACTTTCATTACCCTTCACTGAAATTCAGTGCTCTCCAGACAAACAATGCCTTCCCCTTGCTCCTTCCTCTTGCCTCTGGGAGCCACTAGTAAACTTTGGTCTCTGTGCATCTGCTAATTCTGAGTATTTCATATAAGTAGAACAATGTAAGGTTTGTTCTTTGGAGACTGATTTACTTAGTATAATGGTTGCAAGGAGGAACCAGTCCTTGGAGAGAGGGACATCATGCTTGGCAGGGTGGAGGGACAGTGCAAGAGAGGAAGACCCTCAATGAGATGTATTGATTCAGTGACCGGGATAGTAGGGGTAGGTGTGCCAGAGACAATAAGGTTGGCACAGGACAGAGCAGGTTTCAGGGCTGTTGTGCTATAGGGTCACTTTGAGTCTCAAGTGACTGGATGGCATAACAACAACAACGTTTCAAAGATTCATCTATATTGAATATTTTGGGGTCTCTAGTACTTTTTATGGCTAAGTAAATATTCCATAGTATGAGCATACCCCATTTTTGTTGATGGGCAATTAGGTTGTTTTCACTCTGGCTATTGTGAATAATACCGTAATGAACATTAGTGTACTATTAGTATCTATTCACATTCCTGCTGTCCGTTCTTTTGGGTACATGTCTAGGAGGAGAATTGCTTGCTTGTGTAGAAACTCTGTTTAACTTTTTTTGAGGCACTACTGGTCTGACTGCAGTTCCGCCAGCAATAGATCTATTATCTTCATATCGTTTAACCCTAGTTATTTTCACTTTTAAAAATCTCTCTTATTTTTCCTTTTAGGAGTGAAGTGGTGTTTGATTGTGGTTTTGACTTACATTTCCCCAATGTCTAATGATATTAAGAATCTTTTCATATATTTATTGAATGCTGTGTATATTCTTTACAGAAATGTTTATTTAAGTCTTTTGACCCTTTAAAATTAGGTTATTTTTGTTATTATGTTGTAGGAATTCTTTATATATTCTAGACATCAAGCCTTTTTCAGATATTTATTTTTCAAATTTTTTCTCCCCACTCATAGAAGGTTTTCCCCCTGCACATTGTTAATAAGATCTTTTGATGTACATTTTTTAAATAATTTTAATGAACATTTACAGAGAATTTGGATTTCCATTCATTCATTGCTGTACTTCTCAACCCGCCCAGCCCTCTCCCCCCGCCCCCCAGTTCTCTCCTCTCTTTCAAAAGTAAAAGAAAGACTCCCCCCCTCGTACACAATCTGATGTACAATATTTTTTATGTAAATAAATTTTTTATTTTATACTTGTTTACTTACAAAGTTTGTATATCTTGTTTTTCACACCGAACTTTCCCATTTCCTTTACCAACCTCTCCCTCCCTAATGTAGAATATTTTAAATCAGGACAAAGTTCCAATGTATCTACTTTTGCCAGCAGTTGTTTTTGGTATAATAGCGAAAAAGCTGAGGTTCTATTTAAAGAAACTCGAACTTGAAGCAGTACCTCTACGTTTCTCTATTAGAGTTTTATGATTTCAATGCTTATATTTAACTTCTTGACTCATTTTGAGTTAATTTTCATATATGGTATGAGGTATGTTGTTGTGTACTCTCAACTTGGACCTGACCCATAGCTGACCCTACAGTGAGTTTTCAGAGAAAGGAAATGGCACAGGAGGATTCTGCCCATCCTTCTTCCATGGGACAACTGGTGGAGTCAAACAATGTACTTTTGTGTTGGCAACACTCATAGTAAGAGGCCTGCACTGCAATTCCAAAGGCAAGAGGTTCAAATCCACCAGTTACTCTATAGAAGGAGGAGTACAGCTTCTTACTGCTTTGACCATTATATCAATTAAATAATATAAACTTGGCTTCACCTGTAGTTATCTGTATGTAGTTCATGCCTTTTAAATTACTGTATAATAATATTCTACTCATTCATACCACGTAATTTAGTTGTTCACTTAATTGTTAATATACATAGTAGTTGTCTGAAGTTTGGAATTATTACAAACTGCTCTTTTTAAACACATTTCTATAAGTCTTTTTTTCCCCCTCTGTAAGTCTTTTGTTAAGTGTCTATCCACTTACTGTTCTGACTAGGGGCAGAGGCTGAGGCCTGCTCGAGGGTGTGACTTTAAAATCTCCTTGATGAGGTGATGGACTTGTGGACTAGGCTGGCCTGGCCTAAGGCCTGCAGCCTTTGCAGTCTCCCTCCACTCCAGAAGTTGGCTAACCGACTGATGGTGGTTTCACCTTGGTGGCAGTCAGGCAAGGGAAGATTCTGGGATCTGTTTGTTGTGTGTTATTGTTCTAACTGGGGTCAGAGGCCAAGGCCTGCTTGAGGGTGTGACTTTAAAATCCTGTAGGGCCCTCAGGCCTGCTCCCCTCAGGCATGTTTTTAATTGCTTTTAGTCAAACATCCTTCTAGCCCTGGTGGGTCCACTTGCTGTACAGAGGTAACTCGTGGTGTCTGTGGAGCTGAACACTGTGATACTGATGTGTCAAATGAAATAATGGTTACCCATGGTGGACAGTGTTTGGTGGAACTCCCCAATTAAAACAAGCTTGGAGGCAGAATTGGCACCCACTTCCGAAATAGCTTGCCTTTGGAAACCCTATGAACCTGGAGAAAGGATGAAAGTTATACAAGTGTCCAGGTCTTTCATTCGTAGGGTTGCTATGAGTCACCTACGACCTGACAGCACTTAACAACATCTACAGTATAAACATTACTGGCGGTTCTATATTGAAAGTTGTTGTTGATTGCCTTTGAATCGAGCATGACTCACAGAGAGCTTATGAACAAACGACCTGGAGTCCCTCTACAGCTATTGACATTTATCAAAGTTCATAGAATTTCTGGAGGCATGTTGTTTAGGAAGTGGCTCCCACTCTTGCTTCCAAAATATTGAGAGGAGAATTGCTTATTCAAAATTTACTGTCCACTGTTGAGGTTCATTGCATTCATTCCTATTTTCATTGTTGTTGGCAGATGTTTTCAAGTCAGCTCTGATTCAAAGCAATTGTATGCTCAACGGAATGGAATATTTATTCCTAGCTCTGTGGGGTAAGGATGGGCAATCCTCATGTGCAGTTTACAGCCTTTGAAAACCTACTGGAAGGTCCAGCTATTGGTTAGTTCTGACTTGCTGGCATATAACAACAACAGGTATTTCTTCTGACATGTGTTATAATTTAAAAATGTCAATTGTCAAGTTTCGGGCATAAATTAAAACAATTTTCATTTATTGATCTTTATACAAGCTCCTTTAACATTTCTGATTGATTATCTATCAATAGAGTAGCTTGGAATTTTTACATGCACAATTACAAGTCATCAACAAAAAATAATCATTTCATATTTGTATTTAGTTCTCTTTGAAATTAGTTTTTATGAGCAGTTTTAGAGTCACCAAAAATTATTCAGAAAGTACAGAGAATCTTCACACACTTTTCAACTAGTGCACATAATTTCTTCTGGTTTTAATATTTTATTTTAGTCTACTTCATTTGTTAGAGCTTGTGTGCTAATGTTGATTTACTATCCCTACCCAAGTCCTTGGTTTCTATTAAAGTTTATACTTTGTGTTGTACAGTTTTGACAGAATCATGGCAGTATCTGCAGAATAGTTTTGCTACCCTTAAAACGCTTGTGCTCCAACTATTCATTCTCTCCTCCTCCTTATTCCTGAGAACTATTGATATTTTTATTATTTTTTAACTTTTCCTTTTCTAAAATGTCCTGTAACTGGAAGCACATGGTATGAAGATTTTTCAGACTGGTTTCTTTTACTTACCTCCTGCTTTCAAGTAGATTCAAACTCATTACAGGTTTCCAAGACTGTAAATCTTTTGTGGTGTTCTTAATATTGTTGATGTTATCCCCTTTATTTAATTTGTTCTGTCCATGAAATGCCCCTCAAAGGATATCCAATCACACGTGTGAAAATTCCCGAGCTTTTATTAAATTCCACATGTGGAGACTTTCTCCCTTAGTAGGAAGGTGACAAGGGAAAAAGCCCCGAGTCCCCCTCCACAATTGCTTTTATGGCTTTCCTGGGTGCCACTGTCGGGGCGGGGAGATTGAGATCATGGTTGGTGGGTCAGAGGATCAGTCATGTGGGTCGGCTTTTGACGGGCTGGCTACTTTGCCTGCCTTTACTCTTTTTGTGTCATGCAGACACTAGTTAATTCTTTACTTTGCAAGGACAGATAAGACTTTACCCAGGACATTTGTGTTTGCCTTAAATTAAGATTTTTTATGGCCCGCTTCTGCTTCTGGTATTAATGGGGGTTAATAAAAAATGGGGTTTATGCTGTCCCCTCAAATTCATGTTTTAAAAACTATGACTTGAGTGAAAGCTTACAAAGCAAATTGGTTTTTCCATTCACCCATTCTTAAACATTCTGTTTTATAACATTAATTACACTATCATAATGTAGCCACGCTCTTCCCACTTCCTCCCTGTGGTCTTTATTTTCATTAATTCTTGGCTTGTAGCATTTCCAGACTGCTGTTCCTAACCCCTCCCTCCTTCTGCACCTTATGCTCAGGAAAATGTTGCCCATTTGACCTTATGTGGTTGGTTATTCTAAGGAATAAATGGCTAGAGGATGCTATATGGATGCAGAGCTCCCTGTCAGCAGTGCTGTACAAGGAAAAAAAAGCACACAATGGGATGAAAAACGGTAGGAAATTTATTAAGATACTATATTCTTGTATTTGCAAGAATATAGTATTTAGAGTGTTTATTCGAAAGGAACAAAGCAAAACACAAGAATCTTGAGAACATCGAACAATCAAATCTGATTATGAAGATTAATGCTAAATGATTGAAAGCTTTGAAAGAAGTTATGAAGATCAACTTTCCTAAGTTACTGAGAGGATGAAGGTGAAGAGCTTGACTTCAGAGATAAGGCTGAGACGATAACTTCATGAAGAAAAAAAAATATATATATATATATTCACAAGCCACAAGAAGAAGGGAATTAGGCTAAAGAAATCTGTACTCCATCAATCTGATAAAAAGCTGTTAAATAAGTAAATGAATGACATATATTTTGGTTATATGCTGGCTATCTAAAGCCAGGAAGTGAATTTGTCCCAGGCGTCAGTCGACAGACGCGCCGTCTGTGCAGATAGTGGTTCTTTGCTGATCAGCAGCAGCAGAAAGGTTGTCAGTAGCTGGACCCACAGCAGGATGGGCGGTGGCAGGGCTGGCAGGAGGTGCACCCGAAGGTCTCAGGCAGGCAGCCAGTCAGGCGGACACATGTTGGGTGGTAGCAGGTTCTCTGGCAGTACATGGGGCTGCAGCAAGCTGGCTGGCAGCAGGCAATGGGGCGGCAGCAGGAGGAGCTGCCACAGGAGGGGCGGCAGCAGGAGGAGCTGCCACAGGAGGGGCGGCAGCAGCTGATCTCACACACTGGTCGGAGGCAGGTGGTATGGCAGTGAGTACGGCAGGTGTTTTCATAGCAGGTTGGGCGGCAGCAGCAGGACTGGCAGCAGGTGGGTCTGCAGCAGGTGGGCTGGCAGCAGGAGGAGCTGCCACAGGAGGGGCGGCAGCAGCTGTCCTCACACACTGGTCGGAGGCAGTTGGTATGGCAGATAGTTTGATAGCAAGTTGGGCGGCAGCAGGTGGGCTGGCAGCAAGGGGAGCAGCAGGAGTGGGTCATGGTGTCAGGTGTGGAGGGTGGGCTTGTGAGCAGTGGTAAGTTTTCAAGATTCTGATCACTCCTTCTGTTCTGGGCCTTTTATACACTGAACCCCTAAAACAGGAACCAATGGACAAATTTTTCCTCATTATTGTTTATGTTGTTTTCCATGGTCTCTGGGCAAATGCCTCATGAAGGAAGTTGTTTTCTAAGAATTTCGAAGCTTCCAAAAATTAGTGCTTTAATTATGCTATTAATTATGCAGACTCTTGTAGAACTTCTCTTAGAAGTGAGTAGGCAGCAATCACCAGCAGCATCATTTCCGATCATGTATTATTATCTGGTTATGTGATAGTTCCTGCTGGCTCATGGAGGGTCATGATAGTTGACCTTCCTTACTTTGCCTTTCTCCCCCTTCTTTTCCAACCTTGGCTAGATTAAGAATTTTCTCAGAGGAAGGACATGATGTTGATACATTCTGCTATGAATTTAAACTCTATCTGGGTACAAATCAGTTCATCCAATGTCTCAGTTATCTAGTGTTTCTGTAACAGAGATAACACAAGTTGATGGTTTTAGCAAATAATTTATTCTCTTACAGTTTAAGAGGCTAGAAGTTCAAAAGAGTTCTCAGAGAAGACCTACTTTCCATCAGTTGTAGAAGCAAGTCCTTGTTTCCTTGTCTGTCTGCCACTCACACTCACTCATTGCTGTCAAGGTGGAACCAACTCATAGCTGACCCTCCGGCAGGTTTTCAGAGTATGTAAATCATGGGAAGAGATTGTCCCCATTCTCCTCTGGAACCACTAGTGGATTCGAAGTTCCAGAGAAGAGGAGCCTCTGGGTGGCTGCACAGCTCCCTGTGACCAAGACCACTTGACCTTGGGGATCTTCCTGTATCCTACCTTCCCTGTGAGGAGCTACTCAGAGCAGGGTTTCTGGTCCCAAGGACTTACTCTTCTTCTGGCTATTATTCTTAGTGGAATTGAGATCTTCTACTCTCAACCCATTTTTCTTCCCTTTTGACTTTTAACAGGTAAAATAAGAAGAGAAACAGTATTGCAGGCCACAAGCTAGGGAAAATGCCTATACATCAGTTTGGAGCTGGGATAAGAGTAAGGGTTGCATTCCAATTTTAATCCTTTTACAGACTTAGCAGTTCATGTAGTTTCCACATATAATGTATTTTTCTGAGGAGTAAACAATTCAATCTGTGACATCCAGAAAAGTCTGGTTCGGGGCTATCTATCAGGTGTCCATATCTGTGTCTACCTACTTGCATGTGTATCTCAGTTTAAGCAAAGATGTTTGAGTAGAGGGTGGTTGACCCTATCTTTTTTTATATACAAGTAATTATTAAAGGAAGAAGATAGAGGTAGATGTAATACACTGACTTTCAGAAAGCATCAGTCAGCTAACATTCCATAATAGGAAAAAGACCTGGTGATGATTTCCAAAACTTAGCCAGTGGAATCTTAGGAATAACAATAGACCATTGTCCATAATATTACTGTAAGCTGAGTCCTTCACACTGGAAGGAACTCAGGATAGAATGGGTGGATACAATGGCCTCAACAGTGAACTCAAATCTAGCAATAATTGTGAAAATGGTATAAGTCAAGGACTGTCTTTTTCTGAAAGAAGAAATAGAAATGGATGTCAGAAGGGATTCTGAAGATTGCACTGGAACATTGAGAAGCCGAATCTAAAAGAAAACATGTTGAAGTGAAAGAGTTGAATAGACAATTTCAAAGGGCAGCTCAGGAAAAAAAAAGCAAAGTATTATAATAAAATGTGAAGAAAACTGGAATGTGCAGAGAACTGGAGTTGGAGAATAAAAAGAGAAAAACTCATTCTGCATTTCTCAAGCTGAAAGAACTGAAAAACAAATTTAAGTCTCATGTCACAATATTGAAAGATGCTATCGTCAATATAGTGAATGACCCAGCAAGCATCAGAAGAAGATGGAGGGAATGCACAGAATCACTGTATCAGAAAGAATTGATTGACACGGGAAAATTTCAGGAAGTACCAAACGAACAGGAGCCAATGGTAATGAAGGAGAAAGTAGAAGCTACATTGAAGATATTGGCAAAAAAACACAAATAAGGCCCAGGAATCGATGGGATACCAATTGATTTGTTTCAGTTAACAGATGCAGCCTTGGATGCACTCATCTGTCTATGTCAGGAAATTTGGAAGACAGCTCTGGCCAACAGATTGGAAGAGGTCCATATTTGTTCCCATTCCCAAAAAGGTGATTCAACTGAATGTGGAAATTATCGAACAACATCATTGATATGACATGCAAGCGAAATACTGCTGAAGACCATTAAAAAAATGGCTGGAACTGCCATTCCATAGAAAAGGAACTGGAAGAAGATCAGCAGGATTTAGAAGGGGCTGTAGCACTAGGGATATAATTACGGATGTCAGAAGGATCCTGGATAAAGTAAGGGATACCAGAAGAATATCTATTTGTGCTTTTTGACTATGCAAAAACATTTGACTGTATAGATTATGACAAGTTGTGGTTGACATTGAGAAGAATGGGAATCCCAGAGCACTTAATTGTGCTCACACGGAACCTATACCTGGATCAGGAGGCTGTTGTGCGAACAGAGCAGGGGAGCACTGCATGGTTTGGAATTGGGAAGGCAATGTGTCAGGATTGTATTCTTTCTCCATACCTGTTCAATCTATATGCTGAGCAAATTATCCAAGAAGCTGGACTCTATGAAGAGGAGCATGGCATCAGAATTGGAGGGAGGCTCATCAATAACCTGTGTTATGCAAATGACACAACCTTACTTGCTGAAGGTGAGGAGGACTTGATGCATTTGTTGTAGAAGTTCAAAGAATGCAGCCTTCTGTATGAATTGCGTCTCACTATCAAGAAAACAAAGATTCTTACCACTGGACCAACGGGCAGTGGCATGATGGATGGAGAGGAGATTGAAACTGTCAACAGCTTCATCTTTGCTTGGATCCACAAATAATACCCTTGGTACCAGCAGTCAGGAAATAAGGAGATGCATTGCACTGGGGAAATCTGCAGTTAGGCACCTTTCCAAATTATTGAGGAGTAGTGATGTCAGTTTGAGAACTAAGGTGTGTCTGATTCAAGCCATAGTCTTTCTGATTACTAGCTATGCATCCAAGACCTCAACAATGAATAAAGATGACAAATAAGAATTGATGCCTTTGAGTTGTGGTGTTGGAGAAGAACAATGAACATCCCATGGATGATCAAGAAAATGAACAGATGTGTATTGGAGATGGTGCAACCTAAAGTGCTCTTGGACATGTTGTTAGGAAGTGCTATTCCTTAGAGAGGGACATGATGTTGGGAAGGGTGGAGGGTCAGTGAAGAAGAGGAAGACCCTTAACCATGTGGATTGACAAGGTTACTCCTGCAATGGGCTCTTATGTGTCAGGAAGTGTGAGTACAGTGCAGGACAGAACAGGGTTCAGCTCTTTTGTTCATAGGGTCACTAAGAGTCGTGCTTGACTTGATGACATCCACAACAACAATACAAATGTGTCCACACTAGAAGCAAATTTGATGGCATGTTATTGCATACAAGTAAAATTTTGCTAAAGATAATGGGAAAAAACCACCAGGAACAGTACATTTGCAGTAAGCTGACAGACATTTATGCTAGATTAAGAAGTTGTGGAACAAGGGACATTATTACTGAAGCCAGATGGATCTTGGCTAAAAGTAGAAGATGTGGGAAAGGTGTTAACTTATGCTTTATTGACTATGCAAAGGCATTTAAATCTGTGCATCACAGAAAATTGTGAATAAAATGTAAAAGAATGGAAATTGCAGAATACTTAAACGTGCCCATGTTGAACTTGTACTTAAACCAATTATCACTTGTTTCAACAAAATAAAGTAGTACTGTATGGCCTGTAATAAGAAAAAAAAGTGTACATCATGGTTGGCTATCTTAACCATAATCATTCAGTCTGTGTCTTGTAATTTTGAGGTGCCATAATCTTACTGTGATTTGTAGTGACCCTGTAAACAACAGATCTGAACCTTGCCCTATTCTGTACTGTCCTCATGATCTCTGCCCTATCATGTTAGCCACTACTGTGTCAATCCATTTTGTTGAGGGTCTTTCTCTCCTTTTATATAATCTCTAGCATGATATCTCTCTCCAAGGACTGGCTTCCTAGAAATATTCCCAAAGCAAAGTAGATGAAATTTCACCATCCTTGCCTTTAAGGAGTACTCTGGCTACATTTCATTCAAGACAGATTAGTTTCTTCTTCTGTTAGTCTGTGGGATGTTCAATACTTAACGCCAACACTACAATTCCAAGACATCAATTCTTGATCAGTAATTCCTATTCATTGTCCAAATATCAGATGTTTAAGAAGCAACTGAGCTCAATCTGTATGCAAAGAATTCTAGACTAAGCTTCACCAGATGAAGCAGAATGTAGCATCAGGATTGTGCAAAAGACACGTGAACAGCCTGTGATGTATAAATCAAGCAACTTTGCTTGCAGGAAACAAAGAAGACTTTTGGTGAAGCTCAAAGACTAGTTTTCACTGTGAATTACCACTCAACATTGTTGTTGTTATGTGCCGTCGAGTCAGCTCGACTCATAGCAGCCCTTCTTACAAGAGCCGTAAAACCTGTTCTATCCTTTGCCAATCTTATTGTCTCTGACACGCCTATTCTCATTACTCCAGTGACTGAATCAATCCATCTCATTGGGGGTCTTCCTCACCTGTTCTGTCCCTACACCCTCCCAAGCATGACATCCCTCTCCAAGGCCTGATCCCGCTTTGCAACAAGTCCACTCAATCCTAATAAAAATTCTCACAATTAGACCAATAAACAGTATCGTGATAAAAGGAGAAAAAGAATGAGCTTGTCAAGATTTTAATTTTATTGGGACCTACAATCAATACACATGAAAGTAACAGTCATACAATCAAATCATATATTGCAACGGGCATATTTGCTGTAAAGCTCCTCTTTAAAGTGTGAAAGATTAAGG